ATCGACCAAAGTCCGTTTTCAGGGGCAAAGAAGCTGTGAAATGTCTGTCATCTCTTCACGATAAATATATAAATATGTTGTTCTTCCTGCGGACAAAGCTTCAAATAACATTGTTTTGTATGTATGTATGTAAATCGTACTACTACGAGTGTCTCGTAAAAGAATTGGGAATAAATGAGCACTCCGGTAATCCTACATACAAAAACATATCATTTGACAAGGACAAGATTTTTGCGAATTGAACATCAAATCTGAGGACTTACCTTTGTTTGTATAGGATACCTTAGCTTCACAAAATCCCGTACAAACAATGGTACATTGCCGGATCATCTGCATGTTCTACAAAGGATTTGACCATTATATTAATAAAAATTCTGTCCGCAGTGAAAGAGGATCTTCAAAAATACTGTTAAACTGTTTACTCGCGTAGTGTTATTAGTGTTATTAACCATATGTGGATTCTAAAAAAAAAAACTCTAACGAACTTCTGGATAATTTTAAATCTCGATCTTCTCTGAAATTAATTCTATCAAAACTTTTGATTTTTCAACCGTGTATACCATCATTCCCCATGTGAAATTGAAAAATCGTCTAAAAGAAATAATTCACAATGCTTTTCATATAAAAATGGTAGCATATACGCTATAAATTTATTGCTTTGGGATACCATACGGCATATTTTGTTAATAGTGAACAAAAAGGTAAAACATACTACACAGAGGAACAAGTGATCATGCAGTACACTGGAGTTTCTTATTGGCAACATATTTGTTGAATTTGTAGGTAGACTTTTTCAACAAATTGTCAGTATACCTAAAGGAACGAACTGTGTGCCTCTCCTTGTCGACCTCTTCTTATTTCCAAATGAGTCGGAGTTCCTTCAGTCACTTATCAAAAACAAAAAGATCAAAGAAGCCAGATCATTTGATTTCACATTCAGATATATTGATGATGTTCTTTCCATTAACAATATAAACTTTTCTGATTGGGTTCACGCATCGTTGTCAATATAATGGAATTTGATGCGACTGTCATACAAGTGAGAGGTTTAGCTAGCTATAAGACCAGGTTCAATCCACCATTTTCTACATAAGAAAATGCCTGTACCAAGTCAGGAATATGACAGTTGTTATCCATTCGTTTGATGTGTTTGTTTTTTTGATTTTGCCATTTGATTGGGGACTTTCCTTTTTGAATTTTCCTCGGAGTTCAGTATTTTTGTGATTTTACTTTTTCCAATAATATATCCTCCAGAACTAGAAATTAAAGAAACAACAGTCACTACTTCCTCCACCTCATTTTTAGACTTATACTTCAAATTTGACATAAGCGGTCATCTCAGTACCAGAATCTATAACAAACGAGACGATACTTCAAATTTGACATAAGCGGTCATCTCAGTACTAGAATCTATAACAAACGAGACGATTTTAATTTTGAAATTATAAATTTCCCCCACCTTAGTAGCAATATACAAACTACACCTGCATATTGGATATACATTTCCCAACTCATTCGGTATTCAAGAGATTACAGCTGCTACTCAGACTTTAAAAAATGTCACTAGTGTCTGAGCAGAAAGTTGATGAACCAGGGTTTTGTCAAAGAACGTCTCGTCCTTTTTCTAAAAAAGTTCATCGAAAGATACCAAGATCTGTTGATAAAAAAATCCGTATCAACTTCACAAATAATACATGATGGTCTTGAAGTATAGAATCTAGGTACTGACATTGTTTATCATCTCAATGACGTGTTATAGTGTTCTTTTTTATTTGTAGTTGTATATTTTTAACTGACACTGTTTAGTCCATTTTTTGGTAATATACTTTTGGCGTGGCTCGGTATTTAAACATCCCGCTGTTATTGTACTATTGTCATTTTTGCTGAATGAACTTTGTTTATAGAGTGTCTATATGCTATTTTGTTTTTCTTTGTTGCAATAGTTATTTGTTTTTATTGTGATTAAGATTATAACACAATGTTGACTGCTGTACCCAAATTTCTGACATTTTTTATACCTATTATGTCTGCTTGTTTTGCTCACACATTGTTGTGAAATATAATGGAATTCTATGCGACTTTCATATAAGTGAGAGGTTCAGCTAGCTATAAAACCAGGTTTAATCCATCATCCACCATTTTCTACATAAGGAAATGCCTGTACCAAGTCAGGAATATGACAGTTGTTTTCCATTCGTTTAATGTGTTTGAGCTTTTAATTTTGCCATTTGATAAAGGACTTTCTGTGTTGAATTCTCCTTGGAATTCAGTATTTTTGTAATTTATTTTTTTGCTACTTCTGTGTTTCTCCAACTTTTGTATATAGTTTCTGGTACTTTATAAAATGATATTTACTATACAGAGGATTTTGTCTCTGTCAATAAAGCTATGAAAATTTCATACCGTGTTGAAGGAACAAATGTTGTGTAAAAAATGAAGATATATCAAGGGACACTGATGATTTGAGGAATACAGACAACACCATAGCTAAAAGACTACAAAATAATAATGGCGTCTATAGAACTTTCAAATTGTGACTTCGGTCACAGATGACCACGAATCGAATATGTTAGATTTTTCGTAACCATGATCCCGTCCTAGCTTTTTTCTTCGATTGTGACATCATAGAATGTGATTTAATTATCACCGAATGTTAACACGCATGAGCAACACGACGATACTACTGGTGGAGCAGGAACTGCTTACACTTCAAGTCAATTGAAGTGTTTGATGGAGTTTGTTTTCCTCAATCTTTTGTTTTCTGTGTAGTGTCTTGTTAATGTTGTTTGTGTATTCGTCGTTTTTCGTTTTGACATAACCTCGTACATAATTGTTTCTTCATTTATTAGGCAAAGAGAGGTAACACAAATTTTGCTGAGCAGTTGAAGTGAAACATCTAGTTTATTTAGGTCGATCTGATGCTCTGATAGTCAAAATTTTGAAACAATATGATCAAATTACGGAAATAAAAAGAGTTTAGTAACAGTAATAATTTAATAATCAAATTATTACACAATCGTAAAGGATTAAAGAAAAAATACCTCTCAAATAAATCACTACTAACGCAGTGGTTTATATTGGGTGTTTGACTAAACGGCCTAATAATAGATTTGTGTTAATTTTAATTTCGTTGACGTTATGAAATGTGCCACAGATGACGCAGAGATGTTCCATTTGTGGTAGCCTCCTGATTACGTTTATATAAATGACTACTACCGAATGCGACTTATCATTAGAACCTTACAAAAATTGGAATAACGACAGTGTTATTAATGGAGCATTAACTGCTTATCCTTTCGATATTCCTGAGTTCATACCCGGGTTTTTGTGTGGTTCATGCTGCACAATATTTAGTTTTCTGTGTCATGTTTAGTGGACTGTTTTTTAAATAAAGAGATGTGTGTAAGAATACCTTTGGAATAACTGTCCAACAGAGTCCAAAAAAAGCCGTATATTTAAGCAATTACAGGTCACCGTACGGCTTTCAACCACGAGGACAACCCATACCGTATATACAGTCAGTATAAAAGGCCCCGACAAAATTAATGTGAAACAATTCAAACGAAAAAAGCAACAGACTGCTTTATGACAATTAAATCAATATATGAATGACAGATAACACAGCATTCAAACTAACGACAACCACTGAAGTACAGGCTCCTGACTTGGACAGGCACATATAAATATATAGAACATTGAGGGTTAAACATATATGTGTAAGCGCTCAAACCTCCCTCTAACACGGAACAATAGTGTTACCGTGCATGAGTGCAAGATAAAAACAAACCGTAAAAATCATTTGGAAATTGTCTGATACAGACCTGGAATGGCTTCGAATGTCACAGATTTACATGTAGTTATTTGTATGCGTTGTTTTGACTGATTTTAAGTTTATTTTAATATGCCTAAATGTTTGCAGAATTAAAATGTCCCCTTTTATATATATCTATACTTTTTATATCTTTATTATTTTAGTTCATTACGCATATTTCTACTTTTCTGTAGTGTTTTCAATTTTCAGAGTTTAATGTATTCTTGATCGAGTTGTTTTTGCAATGCTATTTATTTCTGAGTAATTCCAAATTTTTATCTTAGCTGCTTGAAATTTTGAATATGTTGTTTGCATGTCGACTATGCTGTGTCAATGCTAGTTATATAATTGTCATGCTCCGCAATCATATTTATCGAAAAAAATGGGGGCATCAAACCGTCCAAAATTCGCCTATAGTTACTCTTGACAATATCTTTATGTACTTTTTTACTATTACGGACAAATTATGACCCCTTTCCTGGGACCAAGGATCGGTCTCTGAACTTTGAAATGATCTCAGTTGTGCTTGTTTTCTTTTTATTGTTTTAAAAATGCACTCCGTATCAAAATGGATATATAGAATTGTTATTATGTCCAAAATCTTGTGAACATAAGGAACTAAGGATTTACATAGTATGCTTTTAATATACCGTCTATACACTGAAATCATTGGAGGAAGCAGGGACAGTCTATACTAGTTGGTATAGAAAGTCCGGCCTGGAGGAAGTAATTTATTACTGCTATCTTAAATGTTTCTAACACCAAATTATTATTATTCTGATTTGCAAAGAAGGCATTTTAGCTATATTTCTCCTTAACCAGTGAATAATGATAGTTAAGCAATGTTTACAAGGAAACTGTCTTTTTTTCAGTCTTTTAAAATGATTTAATATTTGATTGACTTTACATCTATTTCTATTCGGACCACGATTTTCGCTTGCTTCAAAGCAACGCATGGCCTATAAGTCATGGAAAAAATCTGTCTTGATCCTTGATCTACTTTATTTTCTAATTAAATGAGCGTTAATGTCATAAATGTTGTGGACCTAAAAGATCCTAACATGAAACTGTTCGGAAACAGTGTCGTGTGTGTCCGGACTAGACTTTTAAAAAAACGTGTAGGTCATTTATGCGCTTTTAAGACCTGATATTTCTCATGTAAAGTTATGTTTACAATGAACTTCGAAAATTACGCGGGAAAGTATAAAGAAATGTTTTTTGTTTATCAAAAATAATTAGTTATGTCGTAATCAATGAATAATCTCAATCTGAATTGAGCGAATAAAATGGAGGAAGAAGAATTCGATCTGCAATATGCAGATGAACTTGATGCCATGGATAATTTTGATGGGCGTAAGCAAATTAATGTATTTTAATACCCAAAAAATAATTAGATAAAATAATCTATAATGTATCAGACATGACCCTATATCATGCATATCACAAAATAGTATGTTTAAACAGGTTAAAATGTTCAAATGTATGCATTATGAATACAGTTTTAAATTTAGATACAGGTGTAAATCACAGTACTAAGTTGCATGAAGAATGTGAACAGTGTCGTGTTTACATATGGCCTTGAACAATGAGAAGAAATCGTACCATTAGTAAGCTATAACAGTATGACAAATTTGGAAACTATTCAAAATAGAACAATGGACTGATTAATACTTCAAAATGAATGGAAAACAGACATCAAATTTTCATTCCTAACAGACAGTCTGAGACCAACAATAACCACTGGATTACAGGTTCTTGAGTGTGTACAGGCACTGAAAGAAGTAGTGGAGTTTAACATGTTTGGGGGGGGGGGGGGGGGGGCAAGAGGGGGTCTCATCCCGATTTCCCGGTTTTAATATCAGAAAATCCCGAAATCCCGGACATATTTTGTTAAAAATCCCCATCCCGATAAATTTGTTCCCCAAATTTAAAGTTTAAAGTTTCAATGCTTACGATTTAAACGTCTCAGGTATGATTGATGTTCAAAGTCTTTCAGCGTAATATGTATTATCAATATTACCGTGACGTCAAGCTGCATATAAATTAAACCAAAATCGTTTAACGGTATAATTGAGGACCTGATCCGAGCTCAAAGCTTATCTCTAAACTTATTGTTACATGTACTCTGATCTGGATCTACTCTGTTTCTAGATGCGATTCTGATTGAAGTTTAATGAAAATGGCACTTTTATCTGCACAAGGTACAGTTTTTTGTCAATCCCGTTATATTTCAACATAAAAATCCTGATTTCCCGTGGATAAAAACGTGGCTTTCCCGTATCCCGATGTTTTTCTATCCCGAATTCCCGAACTTTAAACAAGGCAATCCTGATTTCCCGTTGCTAAATTCGGCCGATCCTGGCGTCCCAAAAATGGTCTCGCCCCCCCTCATGTTTGGGATCGCTCAACATATGCAGGGCTCACACTTCTAAATCTTAGGTAGAAATAACTTCTCTTTTTGAAACGGGGAGAAGTTGTGAGAAGAGAAGAAGTTACTTTAATTTTTAGCATATACCAATAACTACAGATTATATTTTATCCTTCCCATCATGTTAATACCTAAACACAGCTACTTACTGTGCAGATCTACAACATGTACAAGCAACAGTACATTGAACCCAGTGTTGGTATATACATACATATTATTTCTGTATGTACAGCACATGTCGAACTATTAACTAGTAAAACTTCAACAGACAATAAAGTTTTCTTGTCACTACCCTATTTTTCTGATTTACCCTATAAGAAAACATCGATGGTATAGAAAACATAGAAATGATAACCATGATAACTGGTAACATTAAAAAAAAAGAACTTTAACATGATTTAGGAAAATCATCCTGTATAGTATAAAGTGTGTTGTAATCTCATATTATTGAAACATGCTGTTAAGGGAGCTGCCATTTGATTTTTATGGGGGGGCTAGGATGAAAAATTTTGTCCTGCATTTTTTTTTAGTTGTAATCTCTGTCCTGCCTATTTATTTTTCACTCTATTCGGTCCTGCCCTTCTTTTTTCTTTTAGATTATCCTGACTTTTTTTTACATAAATTGTCATCCTGCCTTTTTTTTTTTGCAAAGTGTCTCATCCTGCCTTTTTTTTTTACTCAAAACTCCTGTCCTGCCTATTTTTTCAAATTTCATCCACCCCCCACCTCATAATTTAATAATACAAGAATTGTAAGTTATTTTGTTCAGGAATTAATTGTAAACCGTATCAAAGATTCAGGAATGATGAATTTGCTGTTTACTATTTTTTAGCTGGACCAGAACCTTCACCACCAAAGCCAAAACGCTCTCTTAATTTCTGCACACCTGTTCGCAAAAGTAGTCTTTTAGATGAGTTGAATGACAGTCTTATGACTCCATTAGATAGTCCTCTTGATTTGTCTGATGGCTCTGTGATAAAGCAAAGGGTGCGAACTGATTCTGAAACACCATGCAAAACAGGTAGGAGGGACAAAAGAATACGCAGCAATGAAAATGGATACACAGAAGAAGACAATAACCATACTACTGAAATGCTAGATATAGGTATTTTATATAAATAAACTTCAATTATGTTAGCAAACTTTTATTTGCCTACGTTTGAAAGAAAATATGTCAGAAACTTCATTGAGGCAGCTAACCTGCAAAAAAAGGTCTTCAGTAAGGTATAATATCTTCTTCAGTGATGTTGAAGAACTCGCAGTATAAAAAACTATCACCCAAAGTCCTTTAAAGCTGTCATTTCTGTTGACTGTTCCAAAGAGATGACAAAAATCTCTCATAAACATTAAACTTAAAATTGATAATGTAAACATATAAAGAGACAGCATCAAAAACTGACAAGTGTCCTGATTTGAGTTCTGATACTAAAATATTAAAAATACAAGAATAAAAGCACAGACTTTCAGTCAATTTTATTAGTATTAAAGAAGACCAAAACACTGTTACTGTAACCAAATTATTTTCATGATTAGCACATTCTGCATAAAATACACTTGGCTTAGATTTAATTGTCAAGATTTTCTTACTTTCTGGACCAATTCAAACAAGTCCAGACCAATTTTTGACGATTTATGTTTTCGGACAATTTTTTAAGAAAATTAGTTGATTTACAGTACCTAAATGATACTACATGTATATAAGGGGGTTAAGAAGAATGCACTTAAGTACTTTTAGGAAGTTAAGAGTGCTTTATATGGAAAAAGATTCAAAAATATAAAGAATCAAATGACAAAACTCTTCAGCTTTTTGGCTTTGTTAATGACATTATATATGAATTACATGCCTTCTGTAGAAAGCTTTAACTTGACCTTACAATTCTCTTCCATCATTAATTATACATGTATCATTGCTAAACTGTGATATTATTGATCTTATTGTGCTAATTTGGTAAAAGATTTTTCAGTCCATTGAGTTTCTTCTTAGGGCCAAAAAAAAAGGTTTATTACCGGTTGCATGCCCAATAATAATTGATTCAAAGTGATATTTACTACCAAACACATGCATAATTAGGATATCACTTAGTGCATCAAATTGTTATTCTTTGTTTAGCTACTAACCAGGTGGGTCATATTTCTGTTTTTTATTGGACTTTGATATAATATTGAGGGCTCATTGAAACAGAAAACTTATTTTGAAAATAGAAAGTATTCTATTTATAATTGATAGGTCCACAGAATAAGCGCCAGAGAGTGAATGGATTTTCCAGACTCCCAGATATGGATGCTGATGACATAACACCACCATCTTCACCAACTACAGCTGATAAAATTGTGAACTTAAGAAACAGAACACTTCACAGTCACCTAGATGATGTACATGACCAAGTGGACGATGGTTATTAAGTTAATCATATTAGTATGACATTAACTAGAAAATAAAAAGTTTGATGGAGAGCTTAACTCACCATGTTTAAACTGAAATCTAATGTTTTCATTGAAAGGTTTAGAATTTGATACCGATTTCTATGTAAGAATAAGGAGATGTGGTATGATCACCAATGCAACAGCTATCTTTATAAGACCAAAGGAAAAGGATGTGAACACCTACATGGAACTATACCAGTCGTCCTGATCAGCCCATTATCCAACACCTAAGACTTAGAAAATCATATTCATGCTTGTAATAAATTCAAAATAAATCAGGAGTCTGTCAGACTATTGTAAAAAATTGTCCCAAAAAATGTGTGTGGTTTTTGGAAAGTTTGCTATAGCTTGCTATAGCAAAAACTTTCCTAAGGCATCTGCCTCAAACCGGAAATGACAGACTATCTTACTTTAGGATGTGTGTTCTACTCCTAGATAATGTAGTACTGGTGTTTGACAACTAATTCTAGGAAGATGCTTTTGAAATTTTGAGTTACTTCTATTTTGATTAGCTTACAGTTTGAATTAAAATGTACTGAATGTTCATCGATAATTCAAATAATTCAACTCCATTTTGAAAATGGCTATCACAAACACTACTTCGCGGATCTGCGCTGCGCAGAAAGTAAAATCAATACACATCTACACGAAACAGCAGTTTCTACGTTATACTTTTATCGGTATTCCCCAGACATGCGTGAGATCCATATCAACGAGAGTACTATACTCCCTGTTTCAGGGGTTTCCTCCCATCCTCCAGTTGAAGAGAAAATAAATACCGTGTTTAAAATATTTCATGAATGAACATTTTTCGACGCTTACTATGATTTTTACAATGTTTATTAAAGACGTAAAAGCCAGAGTGTATCGAAAGAATCCCGATATCTCATCTCGGCCCACAACAAACTCGGACTATAAAAAACTCGGCCTATTACATAATCGGCATCAGAAAATCGGACTATAACAAAATTCGTAATTATACTACTTGCTATTATAAGTCTCCCAAACAAAGTTTGGAGACTTATTGTTTTGCTCAGTTCTTATTATTTTTCTTCTTGAGGCCTATTTAGGGGTATTTTGAGGGGACAACAGAAGGGTGGGATTTACTATAGAACCCTATGGGATTTATTTTTTTTTTATTTTCAAATGACCATAACTTGATAACAGTTTTCAGTAATGATCACAGGATCATAAAACAAATCCTCTGGATCAGCCCCACCCCCTCCTTTTTGAGAACTTGTAAACGGTTGAGATCCCCACCCCTTAACCATATATACTCTTGTATGGGACAATAAAACAAGTCAAATGAAATATAGGGGGAGTCCCTGGGTGTCAACCCCACCCCATCCTGTTTTGAGAACTTGTAAACGGTCAAGATCCCCCCCCCCCCCCCCCCCTCCCCGAAACCAAATATATATTCTTGTACGGGACAATAAAACAAATCAAATGAAATAAAAGGCGAGTCCCCTGGGGTCACTCCCACCCCCTTCCTGTTTAAGAACTTTTAAACGGTCAAGATCCCCACCCATAAACCATATATATTCTTGTATTGGACAATAAAACAAATCAAATGAAATATAGAGGAAGTCCACAGGGGTCACCCCACCCCCTTCTTTTTGAAAACTTGTAAACAGTCGAGATCCCCACCCCTAAACCATATATATTCTTGTATGGGACAATAAAACAAATCAAATGAAACAGTGTTCTCCCCAGGATTTTTGGATAGCACCAGGGTAACACGTGTGGACTTCTTGGTGAAATATTTCATGCAATCAGTTGTGTCGCGTCGCTTAGCTCTAGTTACTGTAGTTTTTATGTCTCTTGTTTTGTTTTAACACTGTGGTACTGTGTTACAAGTAAATAAAAAAACAGTTTGTATACTTTAATATTTTTTTAAAATAAATAAATTATGATTCATAATAAAATATTCATCTGAATTTAAAGTAATTAAATCTTTTATAAAATCCAAAATCAATAAAAATAAAATATCATTCAAAAGAGAACAAAAATGTTCAATTTAAAAAAGTTTCTAGTTTCTAGAAAAAAAGTTGTTGTATGTGAAAGGATTCCTGTCATAAGAAGATATAAAATTAACAAGAACAATTGCAAATATTGTTTCATTATTTGAACCAGTTTCTATCTTAGATTTTTAGTAAAAAGAAATTTTGCCATAGATTTCATGTAAATATTAACCTTTCTTGTCTTTGGTGATAATCAAACATAGATACAGACTTAATACTGCCCTAAAATCTAAATCTTTATTTTTCATGAACCATTTAAAAAGAATTCCTAAATCTATAAATTTATCTTTGGTCTATAGATCTATAAGTAACCATATCCAATGTCAACAACTAAGTTTCCCTATTTTCCCGCCTAAATGACAGGAAGTAGATATAAATAGATTTAACATGTGCTTATGGATAAAATTTGCAAGATTACTTCTGTTATTCATTAATTATGGATATAGATATCCAGTTTGAAGGTACAGTCATGCATTTTATTTATAAAATATAATAGATTGCAATTAATCTTAAATAAACTTGAACATTTTACGTGAACTAACTGGGTCATGTGATATGTACAGACAGATACTACAGTTTGAAACCCGACTATCATGAAATAACTATGTCATAATTAAAGATAATATTGGCCATGGTTTAATCAGAGACATATAATACTATAATATAAGAATTGGAAAATGTATAGTTGTCCATTATACGTAATGAGCCACCATTATGATGTACAAAAAATGTACCTATCGGGGTCAAGACACTGTTTGTGTACAAAGTATTTGCCGACTTGTCACAGGTCAATGCTTGGGTGGAGAGTGAAGCCATAAAATAGTTATCTGTGATCATAAAGTTATGAACTCTTAATTAAAACACAAAAGAATCATGTTACAAGTGTAAATTACATCGATTAAATCCAATCAACAATCGATTTAATCCAATCAACAAGGTTAACCTCATAAGGTAAATCGATCACGTGGTGTAAACAATCTGTGTTGAACTGGTTTGAACTGGTCAAATTTCACCTGGAATTTTATACCGCACAGAAAAGATTCAACAAGTTGTTTAAAACTTTACTGATTTACGATTTTTTAACTGAAAATTTTAGCACCACGGAGAAAAATTATACATCGTAAGAACGATACCACCATGGTAAAAAAATATATGTCGAGGGCCAGTGGTCCTTTAAGGGCCTGGGGAGAACACTGAATGAAATATAGGGGGAGTCCCTGGGTGTCACCCCCACCCCATCCTGTTTTGAGAACTTTTAAACGGTGAAGATCCCCACCCCGAAACCATATATATTCTTGTACGGGACAATAAAACAAATCAAATGAAATAAAAGGTGAATCCCCTGGGGTCACTCCCACCCCTTTCCTGGGAATGACTAATTATGGGAGCTTTGTTTGGGAGACTTCTCAACAGCATCATGTTACAATTATTTCTTGTATTAAGTAATTTTTTTTTAAAGTCGGAAAAAAAGTTAAACACCCAATCTACACATTTACAACCTATTTGAAATATTACACATCTACCATTGCAAACTTTCCACAGGTGCTATCCAGCACTTTGATTTGTTTGGCCATTCCAACGGTACCTTATGTTTTACGAGGATTTCTACAAAAGCTTCTCACAAATATATCAGTTTTTATAACTGCTATCTATAATTTATAGGAAGGAATCCTAATAATGCATTAACTAATGCAACTAATGAGCAGTTTCACAAGACTTCAGCATCTTAGCATATTTCTGATAATGTCGATGATGACTATAAAAACTACAAATCTAAGTTAAAGCAGTAATAATGGTGTAAAATGTCTCATAGATACAATTGATTCCACATCTCACTTTATGCACTAGTTGCAAGAGTACTTACAAACAAATGAATAATACTTACACCAGGATCAATCATTTCATATTACATTTTGGGGATAAGGAATCATGTTGTGATTATGCAATAGATGTCCACAGTCTTCACACTTAACTTTTCAACCTACAAGTCAGTAGGACTTGTGGTTCATAAATTTTTACAAGTCCCCAGAAAATTCTACAAGACCACACAAATTATTATCACCGCTGAGCAGCGCGAAGCGCTGCGAACCAGCTAGGAGGGTCTGGGGGCATGCCCCCCCGAAAAATTTTGAAAAATTAGATGCAAAATCCTGCATTCTGAGAGCTTTGAGTGTCATGTTTTGAAGATAAATTTAATAGGAATAACATTGACAATTGGAGAAAAAAGTAAAAAGTAGCTGTTATAATAATTTTATTCTCTTAAAAATTAAGAAAGAAGGTGCCTTCTCTAGAATGCTGTAACATTTTTTAGCCTCTGATGGTTCAGCTGCAGGCTTCTCATATTTAGAGCAATAAATTTGTGACTCTTATTCTTCTCGTGAATTTTAATAGTATCCAGTTTAAAGTTGTCACTACCTGGGGTCACAAACTGTGAATCCATTTTATGTTCTGTGCACCATGAACAGAACATTTTGTTTTTCAACTCATACATCAACCACGGACTTCCTTCTAACCAACTGGAAAGGAACTGACACGACCATGTAGCGTCGTACTTTCTCTTCCTTACATTTTCATCGGCGGGGGGCTAAAACGGCTTCCCCGGACGAGCTCCGCCAGTACATTGCCGAAGAAACATTTTGGGAATATAAGTTAGGGGGAAGGAAACCAATGATCTGTCATTTCATACAATGTCTCGATCCAGTATTAATCGCAATACGTTTAATTCATGTGAAAAAGCGCAAAATAGAAACCGATTTATTGGTATCACTAATTACCAAAGACGCAAAGAGCGTACCAACTACCGAAAAATCTACAAGCCCAGTCGGACTTTTGAACAACAAATTTGACAAGTCCGCGGCCGATTTTACTGGCCAGGACCGTCGGACTTGTGGCTAACTTCGAAGACTGAGATGAACAACTGACAAAGAATACTGATAAAAAAGCAAGCAATATATATATACAATAGATTACTAATTAATATTTTGCATGAACAAAATATATAGAAATGTCAATTGGACAAACCAACAAGGATTGAATGATGTTTTCATCTCTTTTATATGCCAATCACCTTAGAGTGCCCCTCTTCCAAATCAGTGTTTACATACAAGTCCTAAAATGCCCCTTTCAAACCCTGAATTGAACATTGCAAAACAAACAAACATAAACATGATAAACATGCATATCAGGATGAGAACATGTTAATGTGATAACACTTTTAGTAGAACAACAAGCTAAGCCAAATATAAATGTGCTAGTTCACAAGGTAATTGTTTACAGTGAAATATGTCAACCCACCAGATACATTATTCTGTCTCCAAACTAACCAGTCTTTGCTCTTATTCCTAAATGCCACATTCTTAGCAATGCAGTTCTGGTCCAATTTGATTGTTGAAAGAAAACTGTTTGTATTGCCTGCCTATATTGCCTGCAAACAATGAGCAAAAACCATACTGTGTAACAAAACAACAATAAAAATTGTAAAAAATCAGTTGTCAAGGGGCTATACTTATCAAATTGTAACTTAGCACACACACACACAAAAAGAATGCATTAATGACAGTGAATTTAGAACTGAAAATATTGCAATGTAGGTGAAGGTTTTTAGATTGTTGGCTTACTAATCTGTAGACCTGATTTTCAGAAGAAGAAGAAATTGTAATATGTGCTTCTTGTCTCGCCTTGTAGGAGTCAAAAAGCGAGACATAGGTATGCTGTTTCTGGCAGTGGCGGCGGCGGCAGCATCAACAATGTTTTAGTTTGTGATTAGGTCTAGTTTATGGTGAACCACTAGTGGTAGGTCAATGATATTTGGTATGCAGTTGTATTAGCATTGGCACATCTCATTTCCATTGATATCATTTGGCCCAACCCCCTTAGTCATGGTCTATTGAGTTTGAAACTTGCTTAGTTTACATGTATTAGTTTGTGATTAGGTCAGTTTATGGGGAACCACTAGTGGTAGGTCAATGATATTTGGTATACAGTTGTATAAGCACTGGCACATCTCATTTCCATGGAGATTGTTTAGCCCTGTACCTTCAGTCATGATTCAATGACTTTGAATATTTGCATAACTTACATGTTAAAGTATTGCTATTTTAATTTCAACATTTGCATTATCAAAATAACAAAAAGGCGAGACATATCTCTGTGTTAACAGTTTATTTATTGCTGTTGATTCTACAAAATACATTATCCCTGATATATAAATGAAAAATATCTGCATAGTAGCATCTACATTCAAATTATGTATTATTTTATACATAAACAGAAAGGATTAAACATTGATTGCTGTGTTGTTGTTCTTAAATTAAAATCTGAATATAGACAATAGCAACTGATTTAGAGATGTAGTTTTTGGTTATAATTTTACAGAAGAAATGTATGTAATGAGTTAAGAAACAGACCGGTATAAACAGAAATAAACATTGTGATATGGTTGCTAAAGATGACTTTACAGTACAAAAGACAGCTGTCAAATTTGAAAAAAACTCTATAAGAAGACGACCATTAGATATTAGGGGGAGCAGGCTTATTTTTTTTACCAAGATTTCCCGCTCCAAATTTTTATTTATTCACTTTTGTACCTATTGTTTCCTCGTCTCTCCTGCATTTTATGTTGCAGAATATTCATTTTGGTCATCTTGTGCAAAGTAATTTATTTTCAATTCTTACCAGGCCAAGTTATTCATTTTCAAAATCCTCCTGGCCTTAGTGTTCTTGTGTGATAAGTAGAAACAGATAGTTCAGCAAGCCTTTATCCTTATACTGCTGAATTGTTTAGGGTAGCAAGTGTTGTTTTCTACAGGCAAGCCTCAAAACAAGTTCTGTTGATGGCTTTGAATGAAAATGCACTCCGAAGGAGGGAGAAAACTGTTTTACCCCCGTCTGTCTGGCCTATGAAATTCTGACTCATTTTTCTCAGGAACTACAAATCAAGAGCTTTCTGAAATTTGTTATCAGTCTTCATGTGAACATGCTTTACTGTGTAATTTACTTTAAGATTCCATGATCGTAAACTTTCTGTTCACTGAATACTTATATATTCTAATACTTGATTTCCATGTATGAATTTTTCATCACATTTTTCTAAATTCTAGGGAACTACAAATAAGTGCTTCATAAAATTGTTAACAATCTTCATGTGATAATGCTTTATTGTGTAATGCAGTTGCAGATTCATCCATTCTCAGCTTCCTGTTTACCTAATACTTATATATTATAACACTTAATTACCATGTATGTAATTTTCATAGCATTTTTCTTAGGAACTAAAATAAGAGCTTCCTGAAATTTGTTATCAGGCTTCATGTGAACATGCTTTACAATGTGATGCGTTTTCAAATTCATCATTCATCAACTTCCTGTTTACCGATCTCAAAGTGGGGGTATCAGTAGTAATTTGACTTTGTCAAAATTTAACAAGATTGATTTTGTAGGATGTTTCTAAGTTTGGAATACGTTGCTATATTTTTGCCAAAAGTACCCTTCTATAAAGTGGCATTCTTCAAGACTTTGATATAATATTGAATCATTTTAAAGCATTTTTGGAACTTTTTTTTATTCAATCATACATAAAGTGTAAATGTCTTATTTGATGCAGATGGGGAGAAAATTAAATGTAATGTAAATGTTACTAATTTATGAAATATTATAAGTGCAATATTAAACTACCCCAAAAGAAAAACCTACTGTTGAATGAAAGGGGCAGTCATTGTTGTAAGTGGTAAAAGGTTGTTAGGAAATAAGCGACTGAAGTGCAGAGGAGGGTTGTTTATAAAGCATTTTTAATTAGAAACTAAGACTGTAATGGGTATGAAGTCATGAACATGATAAAGGTGAAGAAAATGTTACGTACAAAATACCTCTTATTTTCTAATTATTTATTTATACAGGATATGATTTTGAAAGAAAAAGGGTCCACACTCGGGTCCCTCAAGGAAATTTTATAAGTACTCGAGGAACAGAAGGAAAGGTTGTCTATCTAAATGTGAAGGATGAAATGGAATTATATTCAGAAGTAATTTATACTTTAATTTTAAGATATGAGCAAGTTCTACATTGTTTAAACATTATCTATACATTGTCATAAAACAGTTTCTTGGTAAACTTTCAGTAAGGACAATTTAACATCAATGGTATGGTAGCATTTAAAACTTCCAATGTTGTGTAATAGATATTTTCAGTTGTTAAGATTTGGTTCAGATTATATATGAGATTAATTAATTACTGTTTTGCAAAGGGCCACATGAATACATTAAAACTTATGTTGAAGCCGTTGACTCATTTTAGCCATGCACAATTTATCTTAATGATCTGTTGGAGTTTTAAGTTAGTTGAAATTGCAAACTAATAGCATGGAAATAGTAGTAAAAATAATATTGATTAACACAAAATCTTAAATAAGAGAGGAAATGTAGATAAGTAGGAAATAAAATTTCAATTTAAGATGTTTTAAAAATGTTTCATACCGGTAATCTATTTTCATCTTTTGTATTTACAGTATGATAAAGTTGGTAAACATGCCAAGTCTACTAGATTACTGCCAGTATCGGTGGAACAAATGAAAGATGAGTTAGAAACTGAAGTAAGTTTAAACTTTATCTGAATTATTATACTGTAAAATAGTTCAATTATATACATTTGAAATAAAGAGTCAAAGTGAAATGGAAAGTTTTTGCCTTGCCAGGAAAAGAGACAGTAGACAAATCTTTATAAGTATAGCTCTTCAGGTTCAATAACAATTTAGGATTAAAAGAATTGTATGGAGGTTCTTCCTGATTTTACCTTTTCAGAGTAATTTTTTGTATGTATGTTCATTTGACATTGGGCCAAAATAAAAATATTGTATGTTTACCCAAACACGACTGACCCAAAAAAAAACTGCCGACTCAAATTCTTTTTTTGCCGTTTTTTTTAAGAATTTTTTTTTTCTGGTTTTTTTCGTGTCCGCTCCGTCATCCTATAAAGCTTAATGTTCGTCGTCTTTGCGTTTGAAAGTAACTGTGAATAAGATTAAAAGAAAGAGTGTAAGAGACACAGTTAATCGATATTCAATGTTCTCGGTTTTTATCTTCTGATTTAAGGAACGTAAAGAAGTAAAACATGTGAAAATGGCAGACAGTTTTTCATGGCTTTTGATTGTCTCTACAAAGGTTTGACAGAAAAAAAAAGATACAGTCGATTCCGGTTATTTGCATAGTCTATTTGTCAGACAAAATTATGCAATTAAGCAGAGTATGCTTATATCCGAAATGCCAAATTACGGAGTCAAATAACATCGACAGTAAAGGAAATCCCTGAAGAAAGATGAACGGCCATAATCCACTTACAGCATGTTGAATGTTGATTTATTCTAATAAAAGTTATAAGTCTAGTGTTATTCATGTTCTGGTATTTTGTATTCTTTTAATAAAGTTTATAAACACAATCATTATGTTTTAGTTTATTTGCGTGCCGACGTTTCCTTTACCTGGGATACAAAATTAGAACAAATTGTTCTAAAAATAGATTTGTTTCTATGACCCGTATGTACAATGTACATCATTACGCTTTGATTAAAATAAACTGTTCAACTATACTACACAGTTTATTATCATTTTTAACAATAAATGTGTAATGAACTGCCTTTGATATGCAGTATTTACTGCTTGCACAGTGATGTAACACTGTTTCTTTAACCTCGTTAGTTTCGTATATGCAAAGCAGTAAAGGGGCCCTGTACGGGTTTTTTGCTGGACACGAGTGTTGAAAGTGTGAAAATATAATAATTAGAAGTGAATGCTCTTTTCCAAAAATAATAAAAATAAAAGATTGATGAATAAAATTCTTCAACCATATATAAATGCCCATTTACTGTTTAACATAAATGCAAATCACCCCAAGCCGAATTGCGAGAGTACACATTGGATGGTCTTTCAAAGTAAATTAGCAGGCGTTATTGTTTTTAAAATTCACCCCAAATGTTATCTATGGACAATGCTTAAAATCCAATCAATAATTAACACCTTTTGGGATAGAATGGTCATGTTTTTACAACAATTACCTGTTTGACATTTTATCACCTCGAGGCTTAAAATAGAACATGGGAAACTTCACCTGTGTACACATCTAGGGTTATTTAAAGGTTGCAGTCTTGTAATTGACTGCTCCATAGGCTTACATACAAAACAGCTGGTCTTCGAAAATAAAAAAATAAAAAATGCTACATAGAAAAAAATTTTCATGTTCATATCATGTATGTACTAATGTGAAATTGTGATTTAATTGAGAAAAAAAAGTGGGCCATGCCACGAAGAATAAAAAGTTACGTAACCCTGAAGTCAAAACAATTTTTTTCTACTTTCTGTTTGCTGTTTTTACTAGGCCACACCACTTCCAGTAAACATGATATCCTTCCACTTTCTTTGATTGATATCCCCAAAAAGATGCAACATTTTTTTTAAATCTATATATATGTTTCAATTCAGCATAAACTTTTAATCAAACAGAAAAAATTGAGTCCAGAAAAAAATTCAGAAAAAAATGGGCTATTTTATTTACCTCCATGTTTTGACATGCACCGGAAACTGGAGTTGTAATACAAGACTGGTACCTAAAGTAAAACTCCATCATCAGTTTGATCATATAAACATGAAAGAAACTGTTTTAAAACTTTATTTTTTATTTAATATTTTCATGCAAATTCTAATAAAAAAAAAAGAATTTGCCTACCTACCTACCCACACCCAGTCATCAGGCCAAAATTAAAATTAAGTTTGTTTCCCCTTACCCGACCGACCCTCTAAAAATCCGCCGACTGAAATAATTTTTTTCGAAAATCACGTTGTGTTTTTTTTTTTTTTTTCGTTTCGCTCAAAAGTTCGTTTTTTTAATTTCTTTTCCTTGAATGGTCCGTATTTTCAACATTCCGCGAAATCATTGTTGCCCGTGTGTTTGCAGCAAAGGGTAAACAACGTATGCAAGGATACTGAAATTGGAATGGAATAATGTTTTAAATAATTGAATTCCGAGGGTTAGCAGCCTCAAAATCACCACCAGAGTACTGGAAAAATCTCGGAAGTTCAAAGTCTAGATCAGAGGAACAAGCATTTCAGGGAAAGACTATTATTTTGGAAAAAATACATCAACTAAAAAAGAATACAACATTAGCTTTCACTGATGGCTCCTGTAAAGGAAACCCAGGTCCATGCGGGGCTGGGGCAGCTATTTTAATATCAAACAGCACAGAACATGTGGAGTTAACACAGCCAGTTTCCAATAGAGGATCTATTTTATTAGGGGAATTAGTAGCTATCAAGCTGGTAATAGATTTTCTAATAATTCCAAACAACAGAAAAAACACTGAATCCATCAAAATTTTCTCAGACAGCCAATCAGCAATTGGAATTTTAACTTTAAATGGGAAATCAGATAATTACAGCAAAACTATTCATGATATTAAAATTGGTATATTGGCACTAAAATCTGAAGGAATCATTGTTTCCATTGAATGGACCCCTGGACACGCTGATATACAAGGTAATGAACTAGCAGACCAACTAGCTAAAAAAGCAGCACAGGAGGCAGAAAAAATACAAAGCATTCCAATTTTTACAAAACAAGATATACAAAAAGGAGCTAAAGACAGTGTAATGTTAAAATGGCAAAACCGATGGGACACCAGTGATAAAGGAAGAAGATATTATTCCTTTCAACAAAATGTAAAAAATACAATTCCAAAAGACAAACCGTCAACTGAAATATATCGGATAACCACTAGTTTAAGAACAGGATATTGTAATTTAAACTCTTACAAATCAATGATATGCCCAGCACTCACTGACAAATGCAGCTGTGGACAAATAGAAACAGTTGACCATTATCTATTGTATTGTGAAAATTATGAGGAGGCTAGAGAGAAACTCCGCTCTGCACTCTACTTCATAACATCAAAACTAACACTTGAATCAGAAGTATTATTAGCAACAACAGAAAATGAAAATTACAAACATCACATAGAAGATATTCAACATTTGTTAGGGGTCTTTATTAAAGATACTGGAAGGTTCACAAAATAGATAGTTAAGGTTTTATAAGGGTTAATTATTTATTCACTTTTTTTTTTTTTTTTTTAATTAATTAATTATTTAATTATTTATTTATTTATTTATTTTTCTCTGCAGTGCCACATCATAAATACAAATGTACTAATGAGTTTTATACAAAAGTGACATAAAATTACCAGAGTGATCGAAAGTACAGAGAGATTATAGTGTCAAGTTGACACTTCTAAAGACTAAGCATCCGAGCAATCTTAACTACTCTTCCATTCTAGCTACGCCTCCAATAACAAAATGCGTAGCCAGAATGGCTGAGTAGTTACGATTGCGCATCCGAGCTCACCCTTGAGCTTAAATGTTAGGCCTGGTGTTTCTGTCGTGTTTGTGGTAAATCCTTGAGTTCGCCTTTATCAGTGGTTGACTCAATAAGTTGTATATTGGCGTGCTATTTATGCTATTTATGCTATTTTGTTTCATTTCGTATGTGATATTGGACCATACACTAGTTGTCTTTGGATAAAATAGTAGTTGATTTTTTTCGAGCTCAGTATCATATTGTGTTGTGAAAAGTCGAGATGACTATACCAGCTAATGCTTTGATAAAAGTTCTTGTAAGTTCTTATGTCTTTTATAAGCTATAATGGGCCGATGATTAAATATGGTCACACATTCAGGGTTTTGTGAAATAAGATGCCAGTGTTTCATTATTATATTTTTAGTTTCTGTATAAATGGGTTTAATTTTGTTAACATTACTAGCGGTTGCTCCCATTTCGCTGGGCGATGTGTTAGCAAGTTTTCCCTTTCTTTATTTTGTGTTTGATAAAAAAAATCATTGATTTCAGATATTCGATATCCTCGTTTGAGCTTCTGACTGTTTTTAAGTCTCCCAAACGAAGTTTGGGAAGACTTATTGTTTTTGCTCAGTTCTTATTATTATTATTATTCTTCTTCTTCTTCCGCCGCTTTTAAATTTGAACTTGTCCGCACCCGTTCTCCAAAACCGCTTGTCAGATCAACTTAGGGTTTCACAATATGTTAGACTAACATGTCTAGTGGTGCAATCAGGGTTTTGTTTGTGCAATGGGGTTTATAAAGGGGTACTTTGAGGGGCAAAAAGAAAAGAGGGTTTTACTATAGAACCCTATGGGATTTTATTTTTTTAAATTTTCAAATGATTATAAATTGAAAACCGTTTGTGATAGACACAATCTTTCAAATTGAAAATGTTCTAAATGATAAAGCCCATTAAATGAAATACAGGGTTAGTCCCCAGGGGTCATCCCGACCCCCTGCCATTTGAGAAAGTTCTAATATCTTGTAAATGGTCGAGATCCCCACCCCTAAACCATATATATTCTGGTTTGTCATGATAAAGCACATCAAATGAAATACAGCATTAGTCCCCAGGGGTCACCCACACCCCTTGTCATTTAAGAAAGTTCTAATATCTTGTAAGTGGTCAAGATCCCCACCCCTAAACCATATATATTCTGGTTTGTCATGCTAAGATGGTTTGAATGATATACGGGGTTAGTCCCCAGGGG